ATACATACACACCACACACACATACCACATACACACACACATCACATGCACACAACACCTCACATACACACCCCACACACACCCCACAACTATTGGCCTGTGGCTCCTGAGAACTGCTTTCTGGGCTTCCTCCTCCTCTATTGCACTTCCTGTCAGGTCTCTGGAGTTAGGGAAATAGGATGAGCTAAGGAACACCCTGTTCCTTATGAGGGGGCCTGGTGTGCCCATGTCTGTAGTCACACGACCTGTATGAGGAGTCACAGCAGAGACCTTATGAGCCTGCATCCCAGAACATCGTGGTCAAAGAGGACAGCTTTGGGAGTCACCCTTTCCTTCCACCTCGCTTGAGGCATGGTCTCTCGTGTTGGGGCGCTTGGTGTACTCCAGGATAGCACCCGAGACCTTCTGTCAGTCCTCCTGTCTCTCAGGGGTGCTGATGTCACAGGTGGCAACCCATCTTCTGTGGGTTTTGGGGCTCTCGCTTGGGGTGTCAGGTTTGCACGGCAGGAGGTTTACCTTCGAGCATCTCCCTAGCCCTCTTCCTTCCCTCCTTTCGGTAAATTTCTGTTTATTACTGTGTGTGTATCTATCATATATGTCACATACACACATATATACATATATGATGCATGTCTACATATTCACAGGTCAGTGGACAACTTCATGGACTTCTCTCCTTCCTCCTTTATGGGTTCTAGAAATTAAACTCAGTTTGTAGGCTTTCATTGTTGGGGAGCAAGCACATTGTTGTCTGAGCCATCTTGTTGGCCCAGAAGACGGGTATAACTCTGCTTTTATGTTTCTGAGACAGGGACTCATATAACCCAGGTTACTACTAACCGTGATCCTCCTGCCTCTACTTCCCAAGCGCTAGAATTACAGGTGTGCACCACAATGTCCAGCTATTTTCATGTGTGAGATAATCTTTTAAAATGTTCATGTGCAGGGGAAGGGGCATGTAGGCATGCGATTACACACGTGGAGCCTGGAGGACAACCCCGGGGGCAGGTCTTCAGAGCACTCTGGGAAAGCAGCTTAAGGTTCCCGGTTACAGCCCACCGTGTGGATGCACAGCCGCAGGAGCTCCCGAGGGTCGCTCACGGCGGGCACATCCACAGCCCAGAGCAGAGAGGACACCTGCACACTCACTGCCCGGGTAGCCCTCCCACTCCTGTACAGTCCAGGGCTCCACCAGGGAATGGCGCTGCCCACTGTCATGCTGGGTCTTCCTACATCCATTAAAGCAGCCAATACATTTCCCACAGATATCTCACAGGCCAGCCTGCTCTAACCAGGTGATCTGGGTTGTGTCTAGTAGACAGGTAAGCTAACCATCACATCTTCTTCTAAGTCTTCCATATTTTGTTTGAGAGAATCTCTCACTGGCCTGGAACTCCACCAAGTATGCCAGACTACTTGACCCTGAGCCTCATTCATTCTCTCTCTCTCTCTCTCTCTCTCTCTCTCTCTCTCTCAATGCATTTGTCCAGGCAGTGGTAGTGGCATGTGCCTTTAATCCCAGCACTCAGGAGGCAGAGGGATTTCTGAATTCAAGGCCAGCTTAGTCTAGGAGCAAGTTCCAGGACAGCCAGGGCTACACAGAGAGACTCTGTCTCAGAAAAAAACAGAAAAAGAAATGAGTGAGTCTCTTAAGGGCTGAGAAATCACGTCCTTTTACCCCAAGTCCTCCTGGCATATTGCCTAAGGAGGCAGCGTTTGGAAACACCCCGGAAGACAGTGTTGGTGACTGTGCTGTTATCTGGTAACTGTTTACAGCCAGCAACTATCAACTGTCCCCAATGCTCTTTATGACACGCCCCTTCCCTACTCCAGGACCCCAGGTGACCTGCAAATGCATCTCCAAGCCCTTCTCTGTTTTATCTGTGTGTGTGTGTGTGTGTGTGTGCATGTGCGCGTGTGCACCGAAGCATTATATATGGAGGTCAGCGAACACCAGGGGTGTTGCTCCTCCCCTTCTATCCTGTTTGAGACAGGGTCTCTTGTTGCTCTTGTGCCGGCTTAGCTGGCCTGCACACTTCCATTTCCAGGGGTTTTCCTCCATCTGCCTTTCATCTCGCCATAGGAGTGCTGGCATTACATGTCGGCACTCACTACTGCTTCCAGCTTTATGCAGATTCTAGAGTACTGGAACTCGGGTCTCGTGCTTACACAGCAAGCGCTCGCCCACAGACCATCTCCCCATCCCCAAACCCTCTTCGTGAGGCTTGCCTCAGTCCCCAGACTCTAGAGAGGACTATAGAGGGCGGCGAGAATCGGGCAACCCCGAGGGTGATACTACGCACGCCTCCACTCTGCTATAGGTTGAGCCAGCTGGGTCCCATAAGCAAAAGAGGAGACTCTGTTTTTCTGAGGCTGAGAGTCAAATGAGCTTGAATTTGCCTCCTCTTGAGAGTGTTGGAAGCAGCTGCTAAGAACTGAAACCATGAGATATAGAGAGGGGAAAATGGGCTTGCAGATCTGGGGACTGCTTGATTTGTATGCACGCGTGTGTCCATACACGCACACACATACACACACACAGTACACATACATATACTCAGGCACATGCACACAAAAGTAAGAATTCTGGAGAAAGCAAACAAGAGGCACATGCCTTATGCAGTGGAGATGGAGGAGAGGGTGGTGCTGCAGTTCTGGAGGGCAGACAACCTTGCTTGGGCGGTTTAGGACAGCAGCAGGCCAGTAGGGCCTGGCACAGGCAGCAGGTGGCCCCTTCCTTCCATTCTATGCCATGATCTCAGTGCTCTCTGGGCATTGCTTCATTGAGTCTTCATGACCTCCTTGGATAGGCGCATGGGTACACTCTGGTTCTAGAACTTTCTCAGGCAGCGATGGCAGACACAGTCCTGTGGCTGGGTAGCAGGGTTGGTCACATCTAGGCCTCATGCTCCAAAGCCAGGGCTCACAACTCTTGCCCATTTACAACAAACAGTGCAGCTAGTCCTTAGAGGAGCGGCTGTGGAGGGGCAGGGTGCCCAGCAAGGGCTCCACGGGCCCGGGCGTGGTAGTGCTGGCATGGGCTCCACGGGCCCGGGCGTGGTAGTGCTGGCATGGGCTCCATGGGCCCGGGTGTGGTAGTGCCAGCATGGGCTCCACAGGCCCGGGTGTGGTAGTGCTGGCATGGGCTCCACGGACCCGGGTGTGGTAGTGCCAGCATGAGCTCCACAGACCCGGGTGTGGTAGTGCCTGCATGGGCTCCACGGACCCGGGTGTGGTAGTGCCTGCATGAGCTCCACAGACCCGGGTGTGGTAGTGCCTGCATGGGCTCCACGGGCCCGGGTGTGGTAGTGCCGGCATGGGCTCCACAGGCCTGGGTGTGGTAGTGCCGGCATGGGCTCCACGGACCCAGGTACGTGCTTTCAGTTATTTCTCTAGTGCTTCTGAGTGTCATGTCCTCATGTAGTAAATACAGGGGACATCTTTTCATGGAGTGGTGACTAAGATGGTGTGTTCACAGGAGCATTCTTACTAGAGAGGAGGGGGCGTTGGGGGTGTGGCTCAGTTGGTAGAGGGCTTATCTAGGATGTACAAAGCTCCAGATTTGATTCTCAGGACCACTGAGCCAGGTGTGCTGGGGACGTCTGGAATCCCAGCGCTGGGAAGGTGAAGGCAGGGAAATCAGAAGTTCAAGGTCATCTTTGCTCAGAAAAGGAGGGAGGGTGAGAGAGATAGGGCTAGCCCAATTCCAGCCCCAGGAGGAACACAGACTGCAGTAAGGAAGGAGGATGTGAGGTGGTGTGGGAAAGGAGGGCGGGCTGGGACCCAGACGTCAGGCCCCGGACCCATCAAAAGCACCATGCTGTGCTGCACCGGTCTTGGAGCAGCAGGTGTGCGTGCTTTGTTGATCTATGGAAATGTGTTTGGGGAGAGCCACAGCTGTGTAAACGCGGTCTGCCCTGCTACCTCCGGGGATCAGAGGCGCCTGCACCGCTTCAGAAGCAGCCCTGCTTCACCACTTACTTACTCTTCTGTAAATTCCTGATGGAAGCTCAGAGTAAGCACGAGGTCAGGATGTGGCATTAGCTGCTGGCCACTGGGGAGCCAGAAGGAGTTACTGCAGGGTTCTTAGGTTTGGGGACAGGAGCTGGTTCTCTCCTTCCGTTCTGGGTCCCCAAGACCCAGCTCAGCCTCGGCAGCAAGCACCTTTACCCTCTGTGCCATCTCCCCAGCCCTTGCTTTGGTTTTGACAGGGTCTTACTATAGCCAGGAGCTCACTCTGGCGACCTGGATGACCTTGAGCTGGAAATAAAGGCCCGCGCCACCTCGCCAGGCTCCTTGCTTGGTTTGCTTGTAATTGGGATTTTCATTCCTATGTAGTTGATCCTCATCGTTGCTGATGCTGTGTTTGCAAATCTGGTTTGTAGCTACACAACTAACACTCACACTGCTTTTGTGGTTGTTCTCATACATGCACAGAGAAATGAACGGCTTGACTGGCAGCCCCTAAGCATACATCTCTAGCCAACAGACAAGCGGATACTTGGCTTTTTTTTTTTTTTTTTGACAGTCTCATGTCTCTCAAGCTGGCCTCAAACTCACTATATAACTGAGACTGTCTTTGAACTACCTACCCTGTGTACTGAGATGACAGGCATGCCCACCACAACCGGTTTTTGCAGTGCCAGGACTTGAACTCAGGGCTTTGTGTATTCTAGGCAAACACTCTATCAATTGAAGTATATCCCCGGACCAGACCCATCTTTTAAAATTCACACTTAGGGCTGGAGAAATGATTCATCGGTTAAGAGCACTTGCTGCTCTTGCAGGGGACCCAGCTGTGTGTGAATCTAGCCTGGCCTCTTCTGCCCCTGTGGGCACCGCACACCCTGAGATGAGTGAATCCGCTCTGTTTGCATCCACTCACAAAGTTGTGAAGTCACCACCATCTTCAGCAAGTCAACAGACACGCAGCCGGGATCGGAGATCTGGCTGGTCTTCCATCTCTCCATGCCCCCTGACCTCTCTCGGGTCTCTTTCAGAATGCCCAGGAGAACCATGGGCTAGCTGTGCCCACCCCCTCTGTCCCAGAAGACTTTGCAGACAAAGAAGTGGGAGGTAAGAGAACTCTGATCTTGTGGTTTCTTCATCTTTCTTCCTCCACCTGCTCCATCTCCCCAGCTGGAGACAAAGTCAGAGCTCCTGGCCTCTCAGCCACTGGCGGAAGTAGGTGATCTTTACAGTGGAGCTGGGAGGTGTGGAGAGCCAAGGTTGGCTAAGGCCCATTGGAGGACGTGGGGAAGGGGCAGGACCAGGTCACAACAGGACAGTAAGCAGCAGCAAGACCTCTGAGGTCAGACACATCTGTCTCAGCTGTAGCGTGACTACCTCTGTCCCTGGGACACTCACCCTGCCTGGGAACAGCAGTGCCAGCTCTGGAGGACTCAGCGTGCGGGATGGATGTAAGCCACTTAGTGTTAAGGTATCCATTCACACCTGGCCAGTGACATCCCAGGACACTCAGAGCAAAGGTTACCCGGAGGACTGCTGAGATCTCACGCATTGCTTCCCTGCCCCTCCTCCCACCTCTGCCCCCGTGGGATTTCCTTAATCAGCCTAGGCAGTTTTCACCCCAGGGCCTGCATCTCAGCCCCCTCCTGCCATCCCTCTCCTCCATGATCACCTTCTCAGTGGGGCCTTCCTAATAAGATGGCACCTCTCAGTACCCCTCCCCCTCAAATTTTATTACTACCTTCCCATGGTAATGATTTACTAATGTGTGGTGTTGGTTGTCTGTCTGGTTGACCCCTTAATGAATAAACTTCAGGGGCTGAGCGTATAGCAAGTGGCAGCGTGGGTGGAGGTCAGAGGGCAACATCACCTAGCATGAACAAGGCCCGGGTTTGATCCCTAGAACAAACAAGAATGAGCTCTAGTGAGTAGTATCTGTCTTGCTGACTGCTGTAGGGACCCCAGGCGCTCCAGGTCTAGGGGAGCCTTCCCAGGACCCCTTCTCCAGGCCATGGCTCTCTCCTAACTATTCTGAGGTAGGGAAAGGGAAAATACACGTGGTGGAAGGAGGCCGGGGCCCAGGAGGAGAGGAATGCAGCTGCCATCCGGGTGTCCATCTCTGCAGCCACATGTTGCCCTGGGTACCTTCCTTCCTTTGCACTGGCACAGGCCAGAGCAGAGGTCCTAAACCATGTGACAAATGGAGTGGGAGGCACCCTTTACAGTAAGAAGGGGACCACTCTTAGGATTGCTGCTTCCCCAATCAGGTTTAGGATGAAGGGCTGAAGAACTAGTGTTTCTTTTGACCAACTCTGTGCCAGGCACAGAGATTGGCTTTGGGTTGGAAAGATGGCTCAGCAGGTGACCAACCAGATCTGAGCCGAGTTCAGTCTCCAGAACTCACATGATGGGAGGAGAGAACTTACTCCCATAGCTGTCCTCAGACCGCCTCAGCCATGCCATGGTAACCAAACACACACACACACACACACACACACACTAAAGAAAGAGACAGAGAAAAGGAAAGCCTTGTTAAGAGAGGGAGGGAGACGGTGGCGGCTCCACTCCACATCTCTGCCTTCTTTCTCCCAGGTACCAGCTCACTAGTCAATGGCAACCTCCGGCTATACAGCTCTGTGGGCGACCTGAGGCCTGCACACTATGAACTGGACTCTTCCATCCCGCCACCTCCCCCAGGCCCAGCCCCAGGGCCACCCCAGGAAACTTCACAGCCTCTAGGGGAGTCTCCTCCATCACAACCTCCAGAGGAGTCTCCACCATCGCCTCCTGCTGTCCCTCCCCCTCCTCCTCCCTTGCTGGTGGAACCCCCACCCCCACCCCCACCCAGCACAGCCCCACCTCCGCCCCCGCTATTGGACACCTTATCTCCCTCCTCTGCACTCTCCCCCCCATCAACACCTACCCCTCCAGACTTCATCCCCCCTGCCCCACCATCAGCTTTTCTAAACCCCCCTCCACCTTCTTTGCCTACCTCAGGACCCCCAACTCCAGTCTCTCCTCACACAACTGGAACACGTTTCCTCCCCACTGGGGGTATCATCAAATGGAAATCCGAAGTAGCACTCAATGGCAGGCAGCCAGAAGACCCCAGAACCAGCCCCCCCAAAAGCCCTGCTGCACTAAAGGGGCCTAGCCCCGAATCCCACCTCACCTTCCCCAGGTCATTCAAGGTGCCTCCCCCAACTCCAGTCAGGACCTCATCTATCCCGGTTCAAGAAGTGCCAGGGGCTTCCCCTGAGGAGGAAGCCAGTCTGAAGGCCTCTACCCACCTCCCGCCACCCTCCAGCTTCAGTGTCCGCCCTGCGTCTCAGGTTTACCCAAACAGGGCCCCAGAGCCAGAGCGCACGCCAGAGCCCAGGCTTGAGACACCAGGCAACCCAAGACTCGGGCAGCCTGAACTGCAGACAAACGGACAAGCTGGAGTTCCACCCCCAGCTCCTCCCTTGCCCCCACCTGCTCCCCCACTCCCTCCACCAGCACCCTCCCTGCCCCCAGCTGCTCCTCCTTTGCCCTCTACTGAGCAGGCAGTCCCTCCATCTTCTGGATTTATGAAGACCCTAAAATCCAGCTCACCTACTCTCAAACCCAACCCCCCGACTCCGGAGGACACAGCCTCGTCAGAACCCGTTGACTGGAGGGACCCCAGGCAGATGGAAAAGCTTCGAAGCGAGCTGGCAGCCTATCTCTGTGGGACCAGGAAAGAGGATCGGTCCCTCAGCCACAGGCCAGTCCCTAAGGTGGCCTTGAAGGACAACGAGAGCAAGAAGGACCCTAGCCTAGCAGAGGAGGCAGCTCCTCCAAGCCTGCCTGAGAAGAAAGACCCCTGTGGTCCTGAGAAGAGTAACTCCAGCAACAGCCTGCCAGAGAGAGACGCCACCAGCAGCCTGACCCTACCCCCTGTGGACTACATCCCCCAGGATACTCCAGCCCCCAGCGTCAGGCAGATCCGCAATGAGCTAGAGGCTCGGTTTTCCTCCTCAGCAGCGAAAGAAGCCAAACCTAGCATAGCATCCCTGCCTCCCAAACCTCGGCTGGAAGGGGGAAGAATCTTTGAAAACGGGACTGATCATGGCAGATTCCATAAACCTGTCACCAAGAATCCACCCCAGCAGTCTACCACCACTCCGCCGGCCACACCACCCCAGTCCAAGGCCACACTTGGTCCAGCAACACCACCCAAGGCCACACCTGGGCCAGCCACACCATTCAAGCCTGCACCTGGGCAGGCCATACTTCCGAAGGCCACACCTGGGCCAGCCTTACCTCTCAAGCCTACACCTGAGCACACCACCTCACCCAAGGACACACCTGGGCAGGCCACAGCACCCAAGGACACACCTGGGCTGTCCATCCCATCATCTCAGCAGATAGCGGAGAAAGACCTTGTCCCAATGAGACACAGAGAAAAGCCAGAACCTCAAGCAAATGCAGCGGCCATCCAACTGTCCACAAATGGAGCTCGCTCCCCTCCAGCCCTCCCACCGAAGATGTCTACTGGTGGAGAGGAGGTACCGTTTCTGTACAGATCCCACCGTAGCCAGAACAACCACAGCCGAGGGGTTGCTGTGGTGATTCCCACTCGGGCCAAAGGGGAGGCCACAGACTCAGGGGGACTGGTGGAGGAAAAGGAGCCCGAAAACCTTCAGGCCAAACCTCTTACCCCAGTCCAGGCTGCTGACCAACTCCTCAGACACCCGGTAACTGGGGAGGTGGTGGAACGGGGCTCCCCAATGGCCCTTCTCCTCGCGGCCAGGCAGAGGGCACAGAAGAACAGGCCTGGGGTCACTGCAGGGACTGCGATGGGACCGGGAAGGTCCTCTCTGCCAGGGAGTCTCCGTGACCATGGCAACCAAACGGAGGCCAGCTCTGATACCATCTTTTACAGAGGTAGTCGGCCCAACTCCTTCCTTGTGGTCCCTAAGGTACCCAGTGAGACAGAGGGCTACCACCTGACCTCAGCACGGCACGCTGGAGCCAGTCAGTGGAAGCCCCAGCAGGGACGAGACACACAGGGCCCAGAGCCAACCCATAGGCATGGGTGGACCAAGGCCGAGTACCCGGCCGCTGTGACCCCGGAAAGACACGCTCCTTCAAGCTTACCCCAGGGTCGCGCCCTTCCCAAAGCCTTCTCTTCTCCGCCCTCTCCTTCCTACAAGAGGGAAGAGGAAGAAGAGGAGTTCAGCTTTGATATCATTCCGCCACCGCCAGAGTTTAGCAATGACCCTGAGCCCCACGCTGGGCAGCAGCATCAAGACCGTCGCGGGTCCCCACCCAGGAACAACTACTCAGACTTGGGGCAGCCCCTGGACGCGGGGTCCGGGGCCAATACGGCTCGCGGCTTCTCGCGCTTTCCGGGCACTCAATACTCCGGGCTTGGGGGACTGGATCGCTTCTCCGGCAGCGGACGCTCGCTCATCAAGAAGCGCCTGTACGTCGGGGAGCCCCACCGCAACCCCGGGACGCCCCGCGGCGCCACTGGCCGCAGCCTGAGCTCCCCTAACTGCTTCGGACCGCAGCCGGGAGGTCCCGAGATGCGACGGGTCAACTCGGCGGGCCGCGCGGCCCCCGGAGGCCTGCACGCACGGAGGCTGTCGCTGGAGGGCGCCCGAGGCGCAGCCGAGGTCAAGTACAAGACGCCCGGCGGAGGCGGTGGTGGTAGTGGTGGCAAAGCTGGGGACTATGGCTTCATCCCCGCCAAAGGCAGCAGGTGAGCTGGGGAAGGATCTCCGAGGGGGTTGCGACCAGGGATGCGTGAACAGAGGTAATGCCAAGGCCACGGCCATAGCTTGCGACTAAGAGGAGAGAGGAAGGCTCAGATACGTGGAGAGGGTGCTGTTGGCTGGCTCCTTACTTCCCAATACACCTCTTCACTCCCCTCTCGCCCTCTGGAGGTTCAGGGCTTCAAATCCGTGTAGAAGAAAGGGAGACCTAGTGGACCCAGGTGGAAAGATGGATCTGGATGCAGGCAGGGAGCAAAGAGGGAGTACCCTCTGAGTGAGCGGAGGGTACCTGGGGTGTTCTGCGGTCCGCAGGGCTTGTCTGATGCGCTTGGTTCCACCCAGGAGTTCAGAAGTTCATCACATCACAGTTTAAAATGTTCTGTTCTTGGAGAGGTGGGTAGAGGGGTCCATGCGAACCTTCACCACTCCCCCTTTACACTCCCTCCAGGTCTCCCCACTATGGAAGCCCCATCAATACGTTCACGGTGAGGCCAGGGACACGCCATCCCATCTCCTACGCCTACTCTGGAACCCATCGGAAAGCCACCTCCTGAGCTGTGGTTCACTCAGCTGACTTCTAAGGGGTTGGATTGGGGCAGCTGTTGTGTGGGGGGTGGGAGGTGACACTGGGTATTATAGGTCCCAGCTCAGACACCCCTGAGAGCCTTTGTTCTGGAAGACAGAACAGGCAGACAGGCGGTGTGTGAGTGGCAGAGGTCTCTGGAAGATGGAAACATGTCTGTTTCGAAAGCACCAAGGGACAGCTTGGCTATGTACTATTGGCGGATGGGGGTGGGAGGGGGAAGGAGGAGCTTTCCGGGCCTGTGCCTTGTCTCTGCTATCTGGTACTGTCTGCTTTACCAAGGTCTATTGAAACCAGTCTACACGCAGGTTCTAAAAGAAGGGCTGGGCCCCAAGTCTGAATTGAAACCCATGGGGGTGACGTACAAACCCATTTGTATGTCAGAGCCTCACAGTGTGCCTGTTCCCCTGAACATGTGTAGCTTGAACAGAGTGTAGCTCTGCACTTGGAGATGTGATCAAGACTGCTTGCACAGCACAGAAGCCTTATGCACTGATTAGGTCCAAGGGTGGGTTCCTTGCTCCTTGCCCTTGGCACTTACCCATGAGAAGGCCTTGAGAGAGCTTGGGGTGGGAGATGGGGGAGTAGGCTTGCTTTTCCACTCAGGCCCAAGAAGTCCTGATTCAGTGGGGGGGGGCACAGGAGCCACAAGGTTCAGAAGTGTGCTGCCAACATGGAGACGTGTCTTGGACAATCAAGGGTAGTGTGCCGAGGCCAGTTCAGACTGGAGTGATCTGTCAGGAGAGTCACCATCTGTCCTCTGGGCAGTCAGGGTTACACCAGTGAATTGGGATATATATATTCTAATTCTAATATATGTCTTGGTTTATGGGTTATGTCAAATACATGAGGAACAATAGTTAGTTCTTCAGGTGGGGACTGGCTGGATTCCTGTGACCAGGTCAAGGCAGGTAAGAAAGGAAAGGCAGAGGAATGGCCCACCTCACAAGAACAGGAGAAAGACAAGAGGAAGCTCCCTGTGCGGGGAGCAGCTCCCTGTGGGAGGAGCAGCTCCCTGTGGGAGCAGCTCTTGGACCTTTGTGATCTGTGGCACTCACTGAAGTACTAGGTGGTTGGCACCCAGATGAGGGACTCCCTGTGTTCACGAAGCCAAGCTCATCAACACAGCACTGACCTCTGACTGCTTCCCTAGGCAGTGCTTTATGAATGAGTTCACCGATTCAACTGCTGCTTCAAGGCTTGAGGAGTGGGGCGTGGTCTCCCAGCTATGGAGTGCCCTGGGGTGGGCAGAGAAGGGCTTGGTCTCGCTTGGCATGGGAAATAAACTGCCAGTTTGGACTGGCCCCTGCTCTGCAGCTGTAGATTGGTGACTTGGCATCATGGGGCTCTTGGGAGTAGTCAGCTGGATGGTGCCAAGCACAGGGTACTGGGCCCAGAGGTTAAGCCAGATGATAAACTGTCCTTAAACAAGTCTTGAGTTTCTGAGCCTGTTTCTTCTTTTGGGCCTGACAGTAATCCTACTTCATCAAGCCGCCATGAGGAATGGAGGCAGCCATGGTTCAGATCCTGGGCCAGGCCATAGTTTAAAGCCTGGCACTGTGGTACAAACCTCCGATTCCAGCACTGAGGAAGTGCAGGCAAGAGAAAGACAGTTTAAGGCCAGCTTGGCTACTTGAGATCTCACCTCTAAAACAAAAACACAAGGATTTGTGAGCAGAAGTGAAAATACAGTTTAGAAAAGGTGAGACAGCCGGGCAATGGTGGCGCATGCCTTTAGTCCCAGCACTCGGGAGGCAGAGGCAAGGGGAACTCTGAATTTGAGGCCAGCCTGATCTACAAAGTGAGTTCCAGGACAGCTAGGACTGTTGTTACATAGAGAAACCCTATCTCGAAAGACCAAAACAAAAAAAAAAAAAAAAAAGAAAAAATAAATAAAATGCCTGCCTTGCCAGCATAAGGACTTGAGTTCAGTCCTAGGTGGAAGGGACGGCTCAGCCCATGAAGGCCTTGCGTAAAACTTGGTCCCCAGAGCCCACACTAAAACTGTGCTTGGTACCTGTTTGTAATCCTGGCACTGAGACTCTAGGCAGACAGTCTGGGCCTAATTTTTAAGCCCCAGGTCAATGAGAGAACCTGTCTCAAGGAGGACAGCCTTCCTAAGGGTTACACCAGAGGCTGTCCTCCCTGCTCACAAACAAAAGGCTGGCTGTGGTGGTGTGGGCACAAGTCTCTGATCCCAGCCCCTGGGAGGCGGAGGCAGAAAGATCTGTATTCAAGACCAGCAAAGGCTACACAGTGAGGCTCTGTCTCAAAAAAAAAAAAGTGTGTGTGTATACATGTGTGTGTGTATATATATACACATATGTGTGTACATATAGGCTTGGAGATGTGGTTTTAGTGGTACAGTGCATTGGTTTCTATCTCTAGCAAGTCAGGAAGTTGAGACAGGAGGATCACTATGAGTCCAAGATCATCCTGGGATACATAAAGCCCATGTCACATAAAGAGGCATTTACGGATGTGGCTCCAGGTAGTGCTGTCAGAGTACATAAAACACTGGGGTCCATCCAAACTGTAGTGCTCTTATATTACCATTGGCTGAAAACTCCTGATGTGGCAGCGATAGCCACCAACACTTACATAACCCCGACGGTTGGGAAAGTCTGCTCATTCTCTGGTTGCTCACAACAGTCCTAACATCCACTGGTGTGTAAAACCGTGTTTGCATTTCACTGATGAGGAAACCAGGCCTCCAACGCAGGAATCAAGTCGCTCCAAATAGCCGAACTGACTCACCTTTGTGAGTCACCCTCACCCTCTGGCTCAGCCTTTCCTCTGCACCCTCCATTCACCCAACACATCGGGCGGGGGAGGAGAGCAGGGAAAGCCGCTCTGCAATTGTGGGCCTGTGTGATACCTGTGTGCCTGGGTCTGCTTGGCCACACCTTAGCTGCAGAAGCCTTTCTGTGTGACCCAGCCTGGTCTAAAGCAGCAAGGGCAAGTTCTAAGGGTGCCTGTATTTGGAGCCCAGGTCCGGCATCCCTTAGGGTCAAGCTTAGCTTTTTCTGAGACAAACTCAAGAATGAAAGCCTCCCTCGGTGGAAGATAAAGACTCCACATCTGGTTCTCCCCACCAACCTGCCGTGATTTTTTTTTTTTCCAGAGAGGGTTTCTTGTAGCCCAGGCTGGACATGAACTTGCTACATCGCAAAGGCCAACCTTGAACTCCCTATCCTCCTGCCTCCACCTCCCACTGCTTGGTACCAAATGCCCAACTCTGTTTCATTTATTGTCTTTATTTCTGCAGTACTGGGAACTAAAGCCCGTGGGACAGAGGTCACTTTGGACCCAAAAGGTGAGGGTTGCTTTGCCAAGCGGTCCTGTCCTGACCTGCCAGCTCCACCCACCTACCCTCGCAACTATGCCCGCTTTCATCTCTACAGCTCAAAGGCAGGGCTGGTGCCCGTCATTAGTCAGGCCCAGGGTAGCAAATGAAACCTGGGCCTCATCCTGTACCTCCTTCCAAAGCCCTGAGCAGCCAGGTGCAGCAGACTTGCTTTGGGACCTCTTTGGTTGCTCTTAGCCAGGAAGGTGAGAGAAGAGTGTGGGGCAGGGACCCATGGAGCCTTGGGACTGGAACTGTGCAGAAGGGCCGCTACTCGTGTGCTTGTCACATTCGAACACCTGACAAAGACACTTGTCATGACCGGTGCAAGCACTCTGCTGATGTACATTGGTGACATCTCTTGGACATTTAATGCTGCTTCTGACATTCACTTTCACCTGATTTCCCCAGGGAAGAAGGCAGGAGAGTGCAGCCCCCTGCAGTTTGCACTGGTGTCCTCCCTACACCCTGTGAGTGCGCACATGCAGCTGGCATCAGCCAGCAGGTGGCGCTGTGCTCACAGCTGCCTGTACTTCCTGGGGGCAGATGAGGTTCTGAGTTCAGATTTAGATCCGAGGTTTGTTGATTGACCTGGTTTGTCCTGGGTATGGGATGCAGTAGGGGACTTATGAAAATAAGCTTCTGAGGCTTATTTCTAACAGGTTCCCGGGTACAGAAGGTACACATCTGAGAGGTACACATCTCAGCCCTCTCAGAGGAAACTACAGTTCCCACAGTGCAAATGACCTCCCCTGGTCACATAGCTGGAAAGGTGGGAACTCCCTCCTTTCTGCCCTCTGTACCCGTGACAGCATGGTGGATGTGGGTGTGCCTGTACCTGTCCAGATTCTTGTTCCAAGAAGGAAGAGGGAGCTGGGCAGTAGTGGCACATGCCTTTAATCCCAGCACTTGGGAGGCAGAGGCAGGGAGATCTCTGTGAGTTCGAGCCAGCCTGGTTCCATGACAGGCTCCAAAGCTACAGAGAAACCCTGCCTCAAAAAAAACCAAAAAGAAAGAAAAAAAATGAAAGGAAGAGGGTAAAGGGAGAGATGATTTAGGAACAGCCAGGAACAGGGCTACTGTTAGACCAAGAGCAATTCCCTGGAATCCACACTGTTCAGAGGCATTTTGATTCCACATCTAGTCTCATATGGGCATCAGCTCACTTTGTACTGTCCCTTTGGCACGCCCTCCCCCCAACACACACACACACACATACACACACACACACACACACACACTGTGTATCAGGGCCACGCATGTTAGGTGCAGACAAGTGCTCTACCAGAGAACTGCATTCCCACCAGAAGCCCTCATACTCCCAAAGCTAAAGGGGCCCCCATAGATCTCTTTTTAGTCTCCCCAAGGAACTGTCCTTAGAGCACTGTCACCCAAGGCCATGCCCCTCCCACACTTGCTGACAGTCCTTTGCTCAGTCAGAGCAGTCCTGGAGGGTCACAGCAGCTCAGGGCCCCATTCATTTTGAGCACAGACAATCCCTCTCTGCCCTCCCTTCCCCCTCCCCTGACAACCCTAGGGCACATCACAAGACTACACAGCAGCCTCAGCCTCCAGAGGGCTGCTCTCACAGCAGCTGGTTCAGATCCAGGCACTGGTATAAGTGTCTCGCCCATGTTCTTACATGAGGTGCTCCTGACAACCTCAGGACACAAGCACCTCCATCATGAAACAGTGAAGAAACGTGTCCCTAGGTCACAGAGTTATGGGGCAGAACCAGGATTCCTGTGTAAATAGTCAAGCTCCGGGCTTTGCAGGTTCTGAAGCCCTCTCCTGGAACATTCAGAGAAACTACACAGCTTTCGGCACCTGGGGAGCCTCTGCTGCTCACACGTCCTTTCTAGCACTTTCTTGTTGGCACCTGGACACACACACAGTCCTGGTGTTAGATTTAAGTTCAATGCCCTTGTCTTGGGGGTTTGGTCCCCAACAGGGCAGTGGCACTGTCTGGAGACAGTTTCGCTGATGCTTGTGAAGAAGCACACAAGCCATCAGTAGGGAAGGCCAGGGATGCTAGGAAGCCAAGGTCACAGGGTCAGTCCCCAGAATAGAGCCCCAGATGTCAGCACACTGAGGATTAGGTACCCTCTGCTCCTGGCTGGAGAGATGGCCCAGAGGGTAAAGCTGCTTGCCACCAAACCTGATGACTTTAGCTTCATCCTTGGCACACACGCCGTGGCTGGAGAACAGAGTCCTTCAGGCTGTCTCCTGACTATATAGGAGTTGTGGCGCACGCAACACACACACGAAGAAATTTTACTAGCACGGTCTACATAGCAAGAGTTCTAGACCAGCCAGGGTTATACAATGAAACCTTATCTCACTTCCTGGCCCATTGTGGTCCTACCCTGAGGGAGTGCCAGTGTGAGACTACTTAGAAGCACACTTTGGTGCTCAGGGATGCCTGATGGGGGCTGAGACAAACCGCTTCTTTCAGGATCCTGCAGATTACCTTTCACTGCAGCTGGGCTCAAGGGGCAGTGACACAGCTTCAGGCGGCTAGCGGGGAGCTCTAAAGTCCTCCCTTCTCCCCAGCTCCTCTGTAACTATACACACCCAAGAGAGAAGGGCCAGGGGCTCTCTCCCCGGACTCTTATCTCGGAGTTCCAGCTCTCCAAGCCAAGGCCATCTCTGTGTGACAAGGACTCCAAGGAACAAGAATACTATGACCAAAAGCAACTTGGAGAGAATGGCTTTATTTGATTGACAATTCTAGGAGAATCCATAATGACAAGTTCAGGGGAGGCAGGGCAGCAGATGGCAAGAGACTGAGAGACCACATCACATCCATACAAAAGAGACAGCGAACTAGAATTGGGCTGATGCCATAAGCTCCCAAAGCCTACTCCAGGGACACACTTCCTCCAGCAGGCTGCACCTCCTCATGGCTCCGTACCTTCCTCCCAAACACTCTCCTCAACTGGGGACCTGTGGGAAATGTGAATCACTCAAACCATTACACAAGATACCCTGCTCTTTTCTTGCCTAAGGGCTTTTTTTGGTTTTGGTTTTGTTTTTTTGAGACAGAGTTTCTCTGTAACTTTGGAGCCTGTCCTGGAACTAGTTCT